AGAATCATTGATGGGCTCTCCTGCACACCCCCTACTGGGAATTGAGCCTGCAACCCAAACATGTGCCCTTGATTGGAATGGAACCTGGGATCATTCAAATCAATAAAATATATTAAAAAAAAAATTTTTTTTTAATCCTCACAATGGATATTTTCCCATTGATTTTTAGATAAATGCTCTAGCCACTGAGCCAAACCAGCTAGGGTAAAAAAAAATTTTTTTGTTAATCCTCACAATGGATATTTTCCCACTGATTTTTAGAGAAAGTAGAAGGGAGGGGGAGAGACAGAGAGAAACATCGATGTGAGAGAGACACATCGACTGGTTGCCTCTAGCATGCACCCAGACCAGACCAGACCAGGCCAGGAGAGAGACACATCGACTGGTTGCCTCCAGCATGCACCCAGGCCAGGCCAGGCCGGGAGGATCGAACCTGCAACCCAGGTATGTGCCCTTGACCAGAATCGAACCCGGGACCCTGCAATCTGCAGGCTGATACTCTAGCCACTGAGCCAAACCAGCTAGGGCAGCAGATATTTTTTGAGTGCTTTCTTTGTGTTAGGGACAGTTCTTAGCTCTTTACATGTATCAGATGATTTAATTTTTACAGCGATCCTGTGTAGTTGTTATAATCCTTATCTTCAAAGGTGAATGAACTGCATCATAGCAAGATTAAATGCTTGTCTGAAGTCATAGCTAGTAAGTGGTAGGGCCAGGATTCCAATCTAGACTGTTTGACTCCAAAGTTTGTGCTCTAGCTTACCAGGTTATACAGTCTCTCAGCACTAAGTTAATGAGGTTTCTGTAATTCATTAGTTTTTGTATATCAAACACAGTGTCTGGTTCACAGCTGAATTGTATTATCATCATTTTGACTCCCAAATAAGTAAGGGGGAAAAAAGAATACGGATGCTATGACCTTCAGTTTTATTTTTTTAAAAAATATATTTTATTGATTTTTTACAGAGAGGAAGGGAGAGAGATAGAAAGTTAGAAACATCGATGAGAGAGAGAAACATGGATCACCTGCCTCCTGCACACCCCCTACTGAGGATGTGCCTGCAACCAAGGTACATGTTGGCCAGAATTGGACCTGGGACCCTTCAGTCCGCAGGCCAATGCTTTATCCACTGAGCCAAATCGGTTAGGGCTGACCTTCAGTTTTAAAGATGAGAAATTGGCACTTCAAGGAAGCAATTTATCTAAGGACACACAGCTGGGAAATGATGGTTATCTGTAAAATCTAGATCTCTGTGCATTAATATTTTCAGAGAAGGAAAGGATCTATTAACATGTTTTTGATTTTTTGAAAATAATGATTGTTTTCAAAGGAAACTGTTATATAGAAGAAATTGTCATTACTTTATTATTTTTTAAAATATATTTTTATTGCATTCAGAGATGAAGAGAGATAGAAACATCAATGAGAGAGAATCATCAATTGGCTGCCTCCTGCATGCACCCCACTGGGGATTGAGCCAGCAACGAAGGCATGTGCCCTGACCAATAATCGAACTGTGACCTCCTGGTTCATAGGTCAACATTCAACCACTGAGCCATGCCAGCCAGGCAATTCTCAAGTTACTTTAAGAAAATTATGTATAAAATGAAGAAAATTAAGTGACATCTATTTGTTGTTGTTTTTTTGACATCTTATTTTGTACACAGCAACATGCTTCTGATTCAGCGTGTCCACTTAGCTATAAAAATACATTAATCAGAACTGCCTGGCATCTTCCTGAGCAAGACTTCATTAGGTCCCAGTATGTTTCACTTCATCCGGAAGTTTTCTCAAGCATCTTCAAAGGTTGGTTTATCTAGCAAATATTTGAGCACTACTTGCCAGACATGATTTGGCTGGGCAATAGCAGTGAAAAAGAAGACAAAAAAAAAAAATCTTTTCCTGATATTTGGATATGTGTGTGTGTGTTTGTAAAGTACAAATAAGTAAAATATTTAATATATCAAGTGGTAAGTGCTATGGAGTACTATAAAGCAGGAGAAGGGAATATGACTTGTCAAAAATAGACTTACAAAGGGGAGGATGGGGGGAAGGGAGAGATCAACCAAAGGACTTGTATGCATGCATATAAGCATATCCAATGGACACAGACACTAGGGGGCTGAGGGTATGAACTGGGTAATACCTTAACCAATAAAGACCAAAAAATAAATTAAAAAATAGACTTATGATTGCACTTTATATAAATGGGGTGGTCAGAAATTAGGGAATGGGCCATGCAGGTAGTTCAGAGAAGAACATTCTAGACTAAAGGAAAAAAGAGGTCCCAAGATGGAATCATTCCTAGCATTTTGAGGAATCACCAAAATTCTCAAATAACTTTCATTTTTGCTTTCATCAAACACTTTTTTAAAAATATATTTTATTCATTTTTTACAGAGAGGAAGGGAGAGAGATAGAGAGTCAGAAACATCGATGAGAGAGAAACATCGATCAGCTGCCTCCTGCACATCCCCCACTGGGGATGTGCCTGCAACCCAGGTACATGCTCTTGACCGGAATCGAACCCGGGACCCTTCAGTCCGTAGGCTGACACTCTATCCACCGAGCCAAACCGGTTTTGGCTCAAACACTTCTTGAGTTACTTGTAATCTATTTACTAGTTGAAGTCTGGAATCTGCTTACTAAAGCATAGAATCAGCAGAGTTTATTTGGTCATATAACATGAAAGGCATAAGGATTTTTTTTAAGGCAAAGAAAAAATATGGTCCTGGTTCTCAAGTCTACTCACAATTTTAATTCACGGTGAGAATTATAATGGAAGTACACATAGGGTACTTACTTATAGGAGCATTAAATCAGATTGGAGAAAGTTTTTGTTTTTTTTAATATATTTTTATTGATTTCAGAGAGGAAGGGAGCGGAAGAGAGAGACAGAAACATCAATAAGAGAGGGAATCACTGATTGGCTGCCTCCTGCACGCCCCACACTGGGGAGAGCGCCGGCAACCCAGGCATGTGCCCAAGATGGGAATTGAACCCTGACCTCCTGGGTCATACGTTGA